AAAAATCACATGGCTAGTAACTTATAAAAAATTTATTTAAATTTTTATTTTTAAGCCGTGCAATATTTTTGTCCCCCCCCCCCCCCGGTATATGGATAGAAAAATACACCTTATGGTAAAATATTAATTCTTAAAGAATCAATATAACTTATTCTTCTTAATAAAATATTTGTATTCACTCATATCGGGCTTAATAATAATTTTATAAACTTGGTATTACGTAATTGCTCTGCAGTCATTAATAATAATGTAAGTGAAAATACATTATTGCGCTTTATTAATTTATTTCTGTCAAATTAGTTATAAAAGGAAAAATGGAATGATCACGTAATTTATCGTATTGTAATATACAGTAGCAGTTAATGTATATATAAGTATATATACTGTACCTTAGACTTCTCAAACTTTCTCAAGCTTTCACCCGCTACGTGTTGTCATTTCTTTTCTCTTGAAAAGTTTTCACCCGTTGTAATGTCTACTTCAAAAGTTTCTTTTCTTGTTCGAATTGGTAAGAGCTATCTTTTATGTACATTTTTTGTAGTAAAAGAATTGATATTCATATATAGTAAATTTTGTAGATAAAGCAATCTCTTCTTATTTCGAAGATAAACCAACCTTATGGTCATACGATAGCTTCCTCAAAAAATTGAAGCCATTAATTATGGAAGACGAAGGTGCTGAACTTCCATCAGTTTGGCGAAAAAGATTTTTGACGGCACTGAAGGAAATACCTGACGATGATACAAAAGATGAACAAGTACGATATATTGCAAACCTTTTAAGTAAACAGGTATTTCATAATCTTTTCTTAGCATAGTAGTATGTAAGCACAACACAGGGGGGTTTCGTTCCTCTAGCTTGCAAGAGCTTGGAGATATCATTTCTCCTAAAACTGTGTATGGGGTGTGCGTTGCACAAAATCCAGGGGGGTGTCGTCCTTTGTTCTTGCAAACAGTTCTATGGGGGTGTCGTTCTTCCTTGGACTCCTGGGATGTCGTTCCTAGTGCAACAAAAGAAAAAAAAAATTCTAGGAATTTTATAATAAATAAAGAAAATTGCTAATAGACCTTTTTTGACTAAGAAATTAACGGCAACCAATGCAAGCTTTTGGAAAAAGCTAAAAATGAAAAAGCTAAAAATGGAAAAAAATCGCAAGTCATCTGAAGCTAAACTTCATCATAAAAAGGTTTGTACTTTTGATTATACAAATTGAATCAGGTTATATTTATTAATAACTTTTTTTTATAGTCTAAATTCATATTAAACTCGCAGATCGAAGCGTTAGGTGTATTGGAATTAGCACGGACATTGCAGACTATTCAGGCTACTAACGAGCTTGGTCAATATATTAATAAAATAGTAACAATACCCACGGTATTTTAGCTAAGCTGTATATCCTGGCATGGTTTACATAAACTAATGTAATGAGATTATCGCTCCCTTCTAGATGAATATTCTTGAAATTGTCAACCCCGCTAAATGTTATGAGCAAGAAGATGATGTAAGCATTATAAATTCTTCATGATATTATTTCAAATTGTAATTTACTAACAATAATTTAATGATATTGTATTGCAGGAATCTACAAAACCCGATGAAGGAACCATTGGTACGAAAAATTTTATAATAGGTTTTAACAATCTAATAAAAATAATTTCTTTGGTTGTTGAACTATCTAGCTAAATTGTTGGCACAAATATTACAAAATAAATACAAAAAGCTACTACTTTGACGCAAGATGAAGACCAAAGATTATTGTTAAAGAAACACCAATTAGAAATCGAAGAGCTAGAATTACCTAAATCGAAAAAAATTGAAGCTGTAACTGATTTTGCGCAAGGTGAAGATCGAAGATTGGTATTAAGGGAACGCCGGTTATCAATAGAAGAACGCGAAGTAAAACTTGAACGCGAAAGGATAGAACTAATAAAAAGAACTTAATATAAATTAGTCATTATAAATATAAATTAGATGTTAGGTAGCAGAGATTTTATGTTGCAAATTAAGTTTGGAAATTCTTAAAGTAGTTTGCGAAATTCATCTAATTCTGTAAACCACTTTTGCTCTAACAAAATAAAATAAAAGCCTGTATAGTGTTGCGCATTTAAGGTGATTAATTTACATGATCTAACTTTAAATCTTCATGCGTCCGGGGATTCTTCTAGGTGTCCGGACTTGATTTTTCGGTGAATATTAAGAATATCAGGCATTATATTTTTGTTTACAATTAACAATACATCATTAATTCATAGAACTTTCCAGAACAAATAGACAAGTCTACACTGTTACATATGATGTCGAGCCAAGTTTGCCTGATGCCTGCCATGTGGTAAATGTGTAGACTCAATTATTGTGCGTGAAAAAGTTTTATTGAAAATTCTGAGACTAGCAAAAAAAAAATCTTGCCTGAAGTAAATGCACCGCCTACACCCATGCCAGCTGATGTAACATATCAATCGCACCTATTCCTTTAACACACGTCTCTAATTCTTCAGATGATTCCTCTAGAATCGGTCCAATAGCTTCATCTGTGCCTCAGGTAGGATCATCTAACAAATCCACTCCCGATTTCTATTTTACCTGATGATCCCAAAGAGAAGCGAAAACATGTCATTGGGTTGGTGCTAGAGCAGTTTCCTTATCTATCTTTAAGCAATGTGGTGACAGATTTAGTCTTAATAGTTTAACACTTTGTCCATTATGTAATGGAGACCTTAAAGAAAAAATATAAGAAAATATAAAGGGTGAATGGACTATTACGAACGAACTTAAATACGCAGTACGATATCGGGATATATAATTAGAATATTAATATTTTTTAATTATTTTATTTATAATAATATATTGTTTTAATTTTATTAATTATATAAAACCCTATTTGTTATTATTAGTCGACACTTTAATGATCGATGCCCGTTGTCCGCCCGCTCAAAATTTGAGTCCATACGCGATTGGTCTCTTTCGTTGCATTTGTGTTCTGGACTTAACAACGGCTTTCCGTTTCCTAGTATGTTATTATATTAGGTTAGAATTAGAATAACGATAAGTATTATATTAGAATTATATTAGGTTTGGTTAGGAAGAAACACTTTTTTTATCTTAAATGAAGAAATCAAGAAATTCAAAAAGTCTGAAAGCTAAAGAAACAAGAAATGGATCTTTTATAAAGCTTAATAAGAAGTTATTTTCCAAAAAAAAAAAAAAAATCAATATTTATTAAAAATAATAGTTGATCTATAAAACTTGGATATTTAGTAAAATAGTAACGGATTAACTTTTTCTAAATATTTTTAAAAATTTCTTCTTTAATATACAAATAAATAATACAAACTTGAGCTTAGTATATTTGTTGACTTTATATAGTTACAATTTGCTATTTAGAAAGAATCGAAATACTGATTTTAAAGAAGTTGGAAATTTTTTATAATTTGAGTTTGCAACAATTATGGTTATGATTATAAATCGATTTCTTCTTGAAGAAGAAATGAAGTTTCGATAGAATGATAATCAGTTTACACCAATATAGAATTTAGGAGCTATCTATTAATAGAAGAATTTTTTTTTTTAACAAATCTTGTATAAAATATATAGTAGTTTGTTTTAATCTTTAGAAATTTTTTTTTAAACAAGAATAAAATGATTTTCCTAAACAAGAAAGTGAGATAATTTCTCTCGAGATCGTATGTTATGTGTTTTTTTCCTAGGCGATTCCTGTTAGAAGACAGGCATTTATTATTTTAGACCACCATGAAACCATGAAAGGGACCAATCAATCTTTAAGAAAATGTGGTAATTTGTCACGTAGTTTTTTTCAAAATCGTATGTTTTTAATTGCGAATCAATTTATCGGATTTGGCGTTCTGTAGTACACGTACTGTATATGTTTCACATTTCTTTATTCATCTAACCTAATATACAATGAGAAACCTTATTCAGAGAATAGATTTAAGATTTTTTTTTGGGACAAGACGCTCAAAAAAAACAACATTTTCTAACAGATTATTACCAAAACGAAAAACAAAGGCTTTATATCAATTTTCAAGTCAAATATCAGGAATAATTTTTATTTTTAAAAAATTAAAAAAACTTATAACCTGTTTCATGTTACAAATATTCGACGGAAAGAATTGTTTTTATGAGAAAATAAATAGATGTGTGATAACCAAAAAACGCGATATTGGCAGAAAGGAGGAATACAATCCGAAGATTGGGATTTCGCTAAATACAAGTTATTATAATGCGAAGTTCTTTTGATATGCATTTTTTATTTTTTGATTCTTCGAATCATGTTTCTGTTTCATTGAATAAGTTTCTAATTTAAAAATATTACACAAATTTCGGTGGCTGTGAAAATAATAAAATTGGACCTTTCTCTCAATAATGGAATAGAAGAGAATCCAAGTTGTCTATATTTAAAAGCCCAAAAGAGGATTTCAGCTACAAGTATTCAAAAGTAAATATAGAAAAATGGAGGACAATAGGTTTTTATTTATTTAACAAAAAGATTAAAGTTATTATTTACAAAAAGAAATTGGAACAAAAACAGGTATTTGATTACGAAATCGCTCCTCTTGTCGATCATTTTCATATGATTATTTTATTTGATCTGTTTCGTTTTCTGTATATTTTAACTTCATGTTCTTGCTTTGGTAATACTATCACGCTTTTGCTGTCCCGTTCCATGAGGGAGCCCAAAGACTTGATTTTTATTTACAAGATAATCATATGTTAATACACAACAAAATCGTGGTAATTAATTCGCAATTTATTAATTTAAGTTACAGCCGCCCCGGCAAGTCGAATAAAATCTCATTATATCACACATTAAAGAGTCACTGCATTTTCGGAACAATATACCAAGACTTTATCATTTGCATGTATGTGCAAGTTGAAAATATCACCTCAGCATGTTCACAATGAACCTAACAATGAAAAAAGTAATTTAACATGATATGTTTGTGAAAGGTCCGAGACGTTTGAGAATGGTTTGAAAAATAATGGGAGGGAGGATAAAGGTTAGCGCCACTATTCTTGGCGACCACGTAGCCACACATGAACGCATGAAACAATAGCAGGGGATATCAGAAAACAATGGAAAACCACTATTATGCATGGAAAAATCCAGAGTTTTCCATCGAATAATAGACCCATACATAGACAATAATTTGTCGCAGCAAATGAACAAGTACGCTAATACGCGCTTTTCGGGAAAGACGCGACAAGTTTTAAAGTTGATCTTGGATTATTTACCCAACAATGCCTAAATATGACCGATTATTGATTCTTTCAAGCAGCATTAGCCAAACTCAAATGTGTTTGTACTTCAAACTTTTTTTCCTAAGAAACAAAAAAAATTACGCACGATTTATCTTTTCACTTATTTTTATTTGACAGGAAGTTGACAGACAACAATTTGTATGCATATTGAAGAACAATGACTTTCTTCCCCAAAGTTAATTTGTTTTTATGTACGGTGACATATTGATTATCCATTGAAAAATTTTTATCCAATCAATTGGTATCACATTACCAAAAGAATGATTTATTTTCCTTTATTCACAAACTATTGTTTTTAAAAAGGTCATCGATTGTCTGTAATATTCCTTTAATTAGAAACGTTAATAGGTAAGTACCCCTTCGAACTTTGTTACAAAGGTATACTAGTTAACCAATTACCTATTTCAGCATAAAAATTTTTTTTTATGTTTAAAATAGGCTAGGCTTCCTTGTTTAGAAAGATAATGGTCACAACTCATCAATAAACAAACTTAATTCAAAACCGTATTTTTTATATCTAGATCCTTTCAATGGCTCCTTGTATAAAGAATTTTATATGAATTCCCTTTTATGAATTTTTTTTTTCTTTTATTTTCCTTTTTTTTTTTTTTTTTTAAAAAAAAAATTACCTCAAAAGCTTCGAAAGTATTTCAGAATAAAATTTCGGGTGATTAAATATATGGTATCTCATAGTTTATTTATGATAATCTTTTAATAGTTATATTCTCAAAGAACCTTATAATTATATGCTTCACATAATTTTATTTATGGTAATAAAAAGGGTTGAACTTATTGTATAGATGTATAGATCTATTTCCATTTATTATGATTATTCTCCCATGTAAATATAAATGGTTTGAACCTTAAATTTTTTGACCCTTTCTATTATCACTGCTTTTCTTGACCGTTTTCAATCAAGAACGAAATCATGTAAGCAAAATTGTGCTTCCAACGAGGAAATTTGACCTTGGCAATCTCGATGGTTCTGGTTGGTTTTATTACTTTGATTTTTTTGGTACTTCAATTAATCGTTTTAAAGCTTTATTTGTCAATTCTTTGACGTAAACAAACATCCAAATCTTTGTTAAAAATTTTACTTGGCATTTATTACTATGAAACCTAACTTCTTTCTGAAGGAAAAAAAAATAAAAAAGATTTTTCCTTGAAATCTTATCTGTATAGTTATGTAATGTGTATATTATGAAATAAACAAATATTTTTTTTTTAAGAAAATGTACGTTGGCGTTATTCACATATGTCACATCAAAGATATTGAAAAAAATCCGTTTTTGGCTGAATTTGTGGCGAGTAATTTACACGTGTATTGGATTTTGGCTTCATTTTTCCATTTCCTATTTTGAAGATCTGATAGATAATGCGATGTGGCTAATAAAATACTTTATTTGGAAGTCTAGCGGACACTCTAAAATCCTACAATGGTGGCTTGGTGATGTATCAATGCATTAAATCAGGTCAAAAAAGAAAAACAATTGCTATTGATGGTTATGCTTATTTTTTTTTAATTGTCTTTTTTTATTACTGTTGATCCTCTCATCATATTGTACGAATGTGATTTGTGTTTAAAAAAAAAAAAAAAAGGAGGATAAGAAGAAGAAGAAGAAGAGGAAGAATAAAAAAGGGGGAAAGAAGGAAAGAATTGTTCAAAGATTCCCGGCATTTCGAATGGTTTCTTGATTAATTGTTATATATCACATATCACATATCTATTCCAACTTTTCACAACAAGACTGCTGACAAATAACCGAACAAATCTAACAGGGTTTTTATTTCTTAGTAGGATGATCCAACCAATTCTTCAATTCTTGGGGGTTCACAGGGGTACCTTTTTCCCTCTTGCGCGTAATAAATTCTGACTTGTGCTTTGGAAAAGGTGCTGAATTTAGGAAATTTAGGAGTTTGAATGAGGATTTCCATCACGCCTCAACTTATACTTCATTACGCAATTTTTGTGTGGCAAGGTCATATTACTTATTTGCACTGATCTCTTTCCTACCCTAAATTCGAAGTATAGCTCTAATACCTCAAGTTTCGAAAATCTTTCTTGATAAATAATAACCCTCCGAGAACATCTCAAAAATACGAAAATCATTATGAATATATATAATAACTCTCAGTGATTTCTACCTTATAAGTTGTTTAAAATAATAATAAATAAAAGCTCCTTGAATACTTCAAAGATGTTAAAAAAAAAAAATAAAAATAAAGCTCCGTGAATAACTTCAAAATTTGAAATTCATACTTAAAAAAGAAAAAAAAAACTCTCCGTAAATCGATGAAATGTCATTTTGCTGACTGATCAATGAATACAGGTGTGATCGTCGAAACCAGCTTCTGAGAATCTTTTCCAACCAAAATCAAAAAAAAGATCTTATAGCATCTTAACCTAAACAATTTCAAAAATTCCACAACAAAATAATCCCATTTTTAAAAAAAAAAAATATAAATAATAATAAAAAAAAAAAAAAGGATAAACCATCCCGAGACATGATTTTCCCTCGGAAAACCAATTATGTGTGGATCTTTTTACATGTGATGACGAATTTTGATTGTTAATTTTTTTTAGGAATTTGGTGTTAATGAATTCTTTATTTTCCAATCATTTCTTAACTCATGACAACTTTCGAAAGCTGCGTGTTGCTTTGCTTAGCTAAGTAGATGTCGGTAGATGATGTCGATTAAAAAAAAAAAAATAATAATTTAAGATTCAAGATTCAAGATTCAATTCTATCTCTTTCTCTAAAAATGAATGAATTCGGAATTACCAAATGAAACTGGTTATGCTCTATTTTTAAAAGACGAATCTTATTATCAAAAAAAAGAAAAATCGCCAAAATAGAGTTTCTAAAAAAAAAAAAAGCATTGAATTAAAGATTAAAATAGACATAATAAAGCATAAAAGGGAATTATAATGGAACATATATCAAATCACAAACAATTGACATGTAATAGGTTAGACCATGCCCATCATTTTGACAGTTCTTCATTCAAATAAAAAAAAATAAAAAGCTAGAAAGGGGAATTTATTTCTCGTTAAAAAAAAAAAAATGAAACATGAAGATCCGGGATTTACATGCAGAATATCTTGTTTGAAAGGATGAAATTGATAAATTTGGGAGGAAATTCTATTGATTTTTAATTAATATTCTAGGAATTGGTTAAGTCTAGGAATCATTCCGAATTAATTAAATTCTCTTGGCAAAACTAAAACCCTTAATAATAAAAAATAAATTATGCATGAAATGTTTCGGAAGTTTGAAATCAAAAAGATAGGCCAAATTAAGAATTGATAATCACGGTTCAGAATCTACCGAGGATGGTTACGTAACAAGCAAAACTACGTTAACCCATTCCTGATAGGTTCGAGGATTTCCCAAATAGGGATATCGATAATAATGAAGGGTAACACTAGTTATATTATCACCTATCATGTGACGAGCGAAAAACTAGCCGAATTTATTATGCCAAAAAATAAATTCCCATGTTTGATAATTTTGAAATCAGGATATCCTCATAGAAATATCGATTTCAAGAAATCAGCATTCTGCTGTTTAACCTTAAAAGCCACATAAGGTGCATGAAATCGAAAACTTTCCTATTAAAAATTGGGCGTTGAAAATCCTTTAATATTTATTTCACAAACATTTTTTTTCGTATCGAAAAAAAAAAACCCCCACCCCATTTTTTCTGTATTTTTTTTTTAGCAGCTTTAATTTTCAAATTTATCGTATTGTTAGTTGCTATCCATCTCATTTGGGAAGTTTGACACCCAAAGATTGATAAAATGCCGATAAACCCAAACACAGATATTGTTGTGAAAAATAATAAGGGAAAATAGCATACACTTTCACATTAATCAGTTTGAAATTATTTAATTGACGATGTTTCATTTGAAATAGATAGTGATAAATAAATTGAATAGTTTTTGTAAAACAAATAATTTAAATTACCATATAAAGTGTATTAAATAAAAAAAAATCATTCTAAACTTAAACCGTACTTGCAAATAATAAAATTAAGTTAATCCTTGACGGATGACACTTTTACCCCTACCCTTATGGGAACAAGAAAAAAAAAGGTAAGGATTATAAAAAAAATGATTTTTTTTATTGGCACAAAGTACAAAGGATCCGCAAATCTCGTCTCAGTGTAGCGATCTTATACTTACATAAGTCCAATTTTTCCGAAGTTTAAACCTCCCCCCTTCAAATTTTCTTTTATATTTTTTTTATATCGGATTGTCCTCAAAAGACCTAAAGACGAACTTAGGCGTAAAAAAAACCTGCTCTTTAACTTGTAGTTGAAAAGAATGAAATGAGAGTGATATAAATTAGATACCATGAAATCGGGAACCAAACAGAAACCAATGATCATGGAATGACCGATTGGGGAAATTATTTGTGAGATATAACGCACAGGATACTACGTAACGTAAATGAAATAGATTTTAGAAGGTGAGGGGGCACATTTATTAGTTTTATGGGCACCCATCAAAATATGCAGTTGTCATTTGATTGTTCACCTGTCGATGTCCCATCTAGGGATAGAGCGATTTGAAGGATTTACTTCATTGGAAGAAAAAAATTTCCAAGATTTAATGTTACTTTGTTAATATAAATAAACATATATTGGTACGACGCTTAGAAGGTCAACTATTAAGGCGTCCCCGTCTCTTCTCTGACTCGGGAATTTCCCGATCGAATAATGTGAATTATTTTAAGCAGTAAAGCAATTTAAAATTCTCTCGTCGGTAAAACACAAAAATTTGATATTCTCATATCACAAAGATGAATTTACGACGATTGTTGCTAAAAAATTTCCCATATTGATAATGGAGATAATTGTTGAATGTAAGAATATTGTCCATAATGTATTACAAGATTGTGGGCATTTTTTTTTTCGGTTTGGTGTATTTATAGAATTTTAGGGACATTTCTAGTAAGTTCTGTCGCTCGAGAAAGTAATGTGCTGATACATACCAATTGGAAGGGACTAAACCAAATTCGAAATCGTTTGATTTTTAGGTCGGGAAATAGTCTATTGGTTAAATTATCAATCAATCAATAGGGAATTTTTCTTCAGAATACTATTTGTACTTTTTGGTAAACAAATAAAACAAATGTGGATACTGCGGTGCAAACTGCGGTGTGGGTGGAAACTAATCCAAAAGCAGCAATTGTGATGAGAAATATTGTGGCGCTTGCGGTCGGGGTGACGGAGACAATTGTGATTATCCATTTCAAGGGGAGCATGTTCGGGGTCTTGAACGATTTGTGATCTTTTTTTTTTTGACAGGCCGGATTATCATTGAAATGTTAAAAATAATTTCCCCGAGAAAAGATCTACAATTAGATAATATTCTTAAATTTTTAATCTTTTTTTTTTTAAAAAGGGAGAGAAAATGCATGTGAATTAGTTTACCTTGTGCCAAGCTCTTGACGAGTAGTCCCATCTTTTTAGTTACTAAAAAAAATTGGGTATATGAGTCAAAGGTCAAGGGACATCGGAATAATCAATTACCCAAAAGAAAAAAAAATTGTCTAAATTTAGATAATCAAGCTTTCAATGAAGTTTACAATGATCAGACATATGAGATTTCCAAAGTTGGCAATTCAAAGCTTTGAAAGGAAAATATACTGTATATAGCAAGTTGTGTTGGTCATGTTTGTGCTCATGTGAATCTTTGCTTCTGCGCCAACGTATGCACCCTTTTTGCCACGTTTATGTTCCTTGGACATCACCATTCTTTGTTTGCTGCTTGTTAAAAATAACTCGTAAATGTTTGTGTATTTTGTGTATTTTTCAAGCAATTTCTTTTGATGAATGGAATTATGTATGAATGAGACAATACGGCACATGAGTAAACGCTTACCATCTTTTTTTTTAATCTGAAAAGAAAATAGTAAAACTGAAATCTCACGGTTTCCCCATCTAGAAATTGATAGAAACGGAAAAGGGTAAAGTTTTTTTTTTTTTATCAACTCGTAGGCGTATATCATGATCAAATAATAGATTGTTCTTTGGAAAAAGTTGGATGATCCCTTCAAACGGGTCCCAAAATTTCATCGCGACCTTTCTTCATTTACCACTTACATATGGTGACACATAATGGTTCAAAACTCTTGGCCTTGCAAATCTAATGACAAGACAAAGGAAACGCTCAAAGATAAAAAAAAAAAGTCGGAAGCAAAAAAAGATGAAAGAAAAGAGATCATTTGAGAAACCAAGGGGACTCGGGTAATGGTTTACCATTTCCCGTTGTCAGAGGTGAAATGCAAGGACGGCGCAGAAATTTGTTTCACTCTGATTCGCTGGATTTTCACAGTCGAGTTCGAGAAATTCGCCACATTTCTAATATTTGATGTGATGAAAAACCTGTGTCACAAAATGTACGAATATGGTATATATATATGAATAAATTATCAAACCATTTTTTTTACCCCTTAAAAAAAAAAAATATGAGGAAAAAAGTTTTTCGGAAACTTTGGATGGGATTGAAATGTGATATCAAAAAGTTATTTTATAATAATATATTATTTTATAATACCAACATATTCGCTTGTCATTTATGTTTGTTAGTCTAAATTTAAAGTAATTATTTATGTGATGTATAAATAAAATTAATTGTAAACTAAAAAAAAGATGCTCAACTATTGAAAATGTATATATATATGAGGGTTTTCGACCCCCTCAGAGTAAATTTTTATAATTTTTTTTCACTTCACTTTTTTTTTCACATAAGGAGGATAACGTTTACGAAATAAAAAAAAAAACTTTTTTATTCTTCTTTTTTTACCAAAGAATACTTTGCAAAATTTCTCTTACCGTTTAATGCTCACTTGTTCTAATATTTCTAACGAACAACTCCTCAAAACCATCCTCACCCTCGTAAAAAAATTTCTCTTTTTCTTAACAAGGCGACAACAATATCAAGAGAGACAACAAGAAAGTGATCTCTTAACAAATCAATCAAACAACAACAGTCCTATTAAAAGGATTCAAGTTAAAATCCTGGAACGTAAAAATATAATAATGTCAGCCATCACCTGCACTTCAAATAACGTTCACATTTCTGGCTCATCAGTTGCTACACCCACAACCCCAACCGCCACTACCGCTTCAGACTCGTCAGTCACGGCAGCATCAGCAGGGATGGCGGCACTTTCAATATCAAGTTGTGTGAGAACGTTGATCGTGGACGACAACGTTATAACGGCAAGAGTACTCTCAAAGATACTATCAAAGGAATTCGGTCATAACACCACATGCGCGATAAGTGGCAAGGAAGCTCTCATAAAATTATCCAAGGAAACATTTGACATCATATTCATGGATATCGACATGCCAGAATTGTCAGGAATCGAAACAACGATAGCGATACACGCGAAAGGCTCTAACGTATTGGAACAAAATCGTAACATACCGATCTTAGCTTATACCACAAATCCTTGCGAGGAACGATTTTTTGAAGCTGGGATGAACGGATGGGTTGGGAAACCAGCAAAACATTGGATGGTTCGAAAGGAGTTGGAGAGGGTTTATAGCGTAACAAATTCATCTCGACCGTCTTCAAACAAAAATTAATTTTCAAAAAAAGAGCTCCTTTTTTTTTTTTTTTTTTTTTTTTCTTTAAAAAAAAAAAATTATATATATATATATATATACTTTAATTCTTTTAATTCTTCGGGTTTGGGAATATTTAACGGAAAAAATAACGAAATTCAAAAAAAAAAAAAAAAAAAAAAAAAAAAAAACCAAAAAAAACCAAAAAAATAACCCCCAATTAATCCTCGGACAAATTCGGACATCTGTAATCCTATCGCCTTTGAATTTTTATCTTCTTATTCTTTGTAAATAACGATATAGATTTTTTATCTTAATTTTTTTTTTCACAATTATTTCGAAACTTTACTTTTTTTTTCTTTTGGAATCAAGTTTCAATCATCCAATTTTCAAACATAATCACTTTTATATCATATTTAACACTTTTAACCACGAACACACACACACACATTTATATCCAACATTTTTTTTTATGTATATATGGAACATTACTTTTTTCCTATATGTAATTATAATAATCCTTTTTTTTGTAAGTAATATTATGCCAAAACAACCAAATATTTTTTTATGTATTGTATCATTCATAACCAAAGTACAGTAGTAGTAGTTATCCTCTATAATTCTTTAAAAGAATTCTTTTAAATGTTAATAATAAAAAAATTGAATAAATTTTTTTAAAAAGAAAGAATTTTAACCATATCTGATTTTTGTACATTTCGTTTTTTTTGTGTTGTATACGCTATCGCTGTTTCACGGTCTATAAACTTGGTCACAATTCTTGGCTTTTTTCCTTCTTGGCGAATTTAGGTGGATATGTTTCGAAGTCGCAATCCTTTTAAAGCTTTACTCGAATCGAATAAACAAAGTTATAAATAAATAAAAAGAAGATTTCTTATCAACTTTGGAAGGACTAAACCTTAAATGGAAAATCGAGAATTAATTCTTTTTTTTGTTTCAAAAAAAATTGTTTATTATTTGATCGGAAACAATTCTGAGAAATTTGTAAATTAAGAAATTTTTTTTTCTGTAACAACAAAAATAAAATTTATTTATTATCATAACAAATATTTTACATTGCAAATGAAAAGGAAAAACATAAATAAGTGTCTTATCCTTACGAAACATGTGTAAAAAAAATGGGAAGAAAAGGCGAGAGATTCCCCGTAAAAATTTCCCATAAATAATCAATTCTTGATTATCTATCTATAAGTTTTAGCATGGGTTCTTTTTTTATATGATGATTAATGATGATTATGAAATTGGGAAAGATATGAACAAGGCAAGCAAGCATGTAAGGATTCCTTTCACTCAAAATCATAATATAATAAATAAAATAATAAATGGCGGATAAATATTGTTATTGGTTGAATCATTACAAATCTTTTTTTCGAATGGGGTTAAAACGTATTATTATTTTTATTATTATGATTATGATTAAAACTATGAAGGTATTTTTCGCTCATTACTCTAAGATCTTTGATCTAAATGAGATTTACTCAGATGAGAATTTTATACTATAATGACTTATTTCTCATTTTATTATTGTTTGATTTTTATCCCAATCAAGAAAAGTAATGATATGATGTTCATGTTATCAATTAAAAAGAAAATATCGTATGAGGTGTAAACCATGTGTAACCAATCATTTATCACATTTGTTCTATTCCTGGAAAGAGAAATCGGTGAGACATCATTCCAAATTAGGTCTTGATCCAAGAAAAGAAACAAAAAAAAAATATCCCTAGAAATGGTGAGATGATGCAACGTCAATACCAAATTAATTAATGAATAAGTTTTCATTTCCTTTATGAATGAAAAATATCGCACAACATCATATTATTAAGCGATATAAACAAGTAACATTTTGTTACATTCATTCAACACTTTTCTAGCCGGCAAAACATCCCTAGATATTATTTTTATTATTTTTTTTCTCCTGAAAGATTTCAAATAAAAAAATTAATATGAACTGTTTCAAGAATATAATGGCACTTTTTATTGCTATATTTTTTTTATTATATTTTTGCATTTGTTTTATTAGGTGCATCATTAAGTTATTATTGTATTATTATCGTTTCTCTTTTGTGCATACTCGAAAGAGATCATCCTCTTTTATGACTATTCATTATTATGAATGGAATTTTTATATATGCAGAAAGGACCACGCGAATTAACAATCACCGTAATGATCATATTTAAACGGTAATACCAATTTATAACGCAAGCGCAGGAAATGAGAACTAGAATCGAGCCGTATGCCGTATGGGAGACAATGTTACATAAAATAATATACATCAAATATAAATTGTGATATAAACTAAAAAAAATTTTTATTGTTGTTTAATTGTTGTTGTTGTTGTTGCTATCTTTGTTTTGTGGGTCGAAATTAGGAAGGGAAACAATTGCCGTATTGTTATAAATCTGTTACATGTTTATTGATAATAAAGAAAAAAAAAATTAAATGTGTTTTTGAAAAATCCGATAAATGAGTAGATAATTACATGATTACCTTTTTTTTTGATTCTGTAAAATTAAAATAAAAATAAATAAAGAAGTCTTCGGAAATCCGATAATTGAGTAAAGTAATTACCTTTTTTTTTTTTTTTTTTTTTTTTTGATGCTGAAAATAAAATAAAAATAAAAATAAATGATTACCGATAATTGAGCAAATCAATCACTTTACGAACTTTTATTCTTTTCTTTGATTTGCTTTTTTTTTTTTTTTTTTTTTTTTTTTTAAAAAAAAAAAGGGGGGCGGGGCTTCGAAACGTATAGTAAATTAAAAATAAAGCAAATTAAAAATCAAATAAAAAAAAAATGTATGACTACTTTTTTACCCTAAACATTCAATATCATTCATACTAATTTAAAGCGTATGCATTTTTGGCGGGAAAATAAAAGGGCCCCCTTATTTTTTCACAAATATTTGTTATACAACAAAACATTTGACTTATATAATAAATTGTATTGTGAAAATATTTTCAATTGGTATTAAAAAAAAAATAATAATAAAGCGAAACAAGCCAAGAAAGTAAGAAGCGAGAAGAAATACAATAAAAAGTGTTAATTTGCTTTCATGTATTTGGTTTAGAACTTCTTTATTAAACATAAGACTTTCAATCAGAAGGAACGTAACATGCATGATCACGAATTATAGGTTGTTTACTTTTGGTGCGCAGTAACACACGCCACATCCCTTTGTTTTTTGTTTTTTCTAGAAATCCTCGTGAGACAACAACAAATTTTTTGGATCTTTGTAAAAAGGAAATTTCAATGAGAGAGTTTAAAACAGCCGCAGAACAGGAAGAAAGATCCAGCTTGACAGGAGATGTCCGAAGGTTGTGAGAATATTCTTGCTAACCGGCAGTTTTAACGATGTTTGATCGCCAATTGGATTAGTTCCAGAACGCATTCCTTCCACTTTTGTGTATTCCGCCTTTTGGATAAACAACCTTTCAAAAAATAAAATAGAATTGCACATCGCATAACATTTGCTATAATAGAGACATAAGCAAAAATATGCGAAAATGTGAGGCTTGTCCAGACCACGCACAGTTCCTTTGTGTAAAATATAAAGTTTGTGACTTATTAGAAACATAATAAAAACAAAATAAAAAAAAATTAATAAAATTGAAATGAGACGAGAAAATAAGAAGGAAAAAAAAAGAGATTTGTTTTCCTTGTGGTGGTTACATTACATTATAACCGAAATAGCTTAGCGCATGAGATGTTTGAGATGTTTGAGATGGGTTTTTTTTATATATATATTATTTCATTATTGTAATCATGAGTAATAATTACCAATATTACTTACTGATTTGAGGGTTCTCGTAATGAAAATAATACTTCTTCGGAATATCCCCTACATTTTTAGTTAACTATAATTTTTTTCTTATTTCCATTTTTAGACAAAATAAACAATCTAGACTTGTGATTATTGATTCATCACATGTAAACTACCACCTTTTTATAAAAAAAAAAATTTGCCATTGTTTTAATATTTCATTTAATTTGGGTTATTCCATGATTCATGACTAAATTGAGCGAAACTTTATTGGTTAATCCCGAAAAAAAAAAAAATCACAAGTTCAACAAGTACAATGCAAAAAAAAAGAGGTATTCCCAAATGATGATAATAAATAAATAACAATAATTTTTTGATCCGAAAAAAGAATGTGAGAAAATTTGTTTCAGCCAAGCAATTAAAAATTGATTTACCTTTTTTTTTTGTTCAATTTGTTACACTTAATGGACCCATAGTAAATTTATTGAATAAAATAAAAACAATACAAACGACCTTTATTATCATTCTGGATTATCACTAAACTTTTTTATAGTTTTTCTTTTTGGAGGATAATTTAGAATAATTAAATAATTACATAAAGGTACTTCCAAGAATCACAAATCACAAACAGTGGGATAAAAAAAGGTGTCACAATGGGACTTTTCACATTCCTTCATTGCTTTTTCTCAACAAAGAAGATGAATTTTTCGAAAAGGTTGCAGGAAACCGATATGTGACATTCTCGATCCCATTTTAAAATTTATAAAATTGGCCAGAGTGATTCCGTAGCAAATGTTGTTATATGAAACCCCAACAGCAAATGCGGTGATGCCTTAACATAACGAATTCTGGAAGAATGACGAAGCGGAATTGAGAATTCCGGATCGGCTGATATATTCCATTTCCCGAAGAATTTAAGTTTAACTGCGGAAACTGATTAATCATTCGCATAAGGAAATGCTTAGATTGCGAACATTACAAATCAATTATTTATCATCATCGTAATCACAATAATAATTATAATAATCGTTCTTATTTAAATGAAAATTCTTTGTGCGATTGAGATTGTTTGAAATCGTTTGATTAAAAAAAAAAATTATGACTTGGTATATAAAAAAAAAATCTTTTTATACAAAACTTCTGTATCAAATTCTGGATGTCGTTATCATCTTATCCAGAGAAGGAATCTCTCTTTTGATGATCTTATTTGCTGAATGGGAAAAGTTTTTTTTTTCTGTGTAAAATTATATTTAACTTTAATGGCCATTCAAGTTCCATTATGGAAAAATTAAATAACTTAAAAATAATTAACCAAATCAAGTAAAATAATAATCAATGATAAAATTAGTTTATCTTTTGAGACACAAGTTTTTTTTTAAAATTTTCCCAAATGCGTACTATAAAAAAAAAAACATGCAAAGAATGTATGACCAATTTCTGTAATAAAACCTTAAATTTTAAAATCGAAACGCTTCGATCGTCAAAAAATTTTTTTTCCTTTTTTTCTCTTCATTTATGATGAGCCGTCAAAAATGATTAGTTAAGCAAAACAACAAAGCGGCGAGCTTGGTACCACACGAGCAGGTATTATTGATTCGATACCCAAAAAAAAATTTTTATTATTTCATCGCTATTGGTGATGAAGTCCATTAATTTCGTTTGACGGATTTTTGTTATTTAATTAAATCTTTCAATGGATACATAATCTGAAACGTGATAAGGATATCATATTTTTTCCCATCACAACCCTGCATTGATTATTTTTTTTTTGGATTCACGATAGGATATGTTCAAAAAGATGTTGGCGATTAAATATGTGCCAACCAGTAAATATTTGCCATTAATAAATTCCAAATTTAACGGCTTGGTGGCTTGGATGCCAAGCTCAAAATCTTGATTGGTTCTTTAAAAGGTTTCTTACCCCTTCTCCCCTTCTGTTAATTTGTCATTAAAGGAAAGTTTTTTTTTTTGTTGAATCCTTTTGTTTAAATTAATCCTCTTTGAGATTAAATGAAAATTTCTTGGTAAAATTTGCTGATATATAAATAATATATATAAAAAAAATAAAGATTTAAACATATCCATCATATGAGGTTTTACGGTCCATAAACATTGTCACGCAAACAAATGTTATCAAAAAGGAAATTATTATGTTAAATCAAATGATTCGTGTTCAATGAGGAATAAATATAATCGGTCAAATGTGAAATAAAATAAAGATAAAAAAAAAATTTCCTAGTGATAAATCGACCCTTCCATTAAAAAAATCGAACGGATTGATTTTCTTAAAAACAGGTCACAATAAATTCGGTCTACCTGGGATTTGAAATCGATATCGTCGACAATCATACGATTCATCAATGTAAAAAAAAAATTTAACGTGTATTTGTAATCGACATAAAATGATAAATATGCTTATTGTCGATTTCAAGCGAATTCGTAAATTTTAATATCAAAGATAAATTAAGCAATGTGGCTTGTTTATAAAGTTCTTTTATCAGTTAATAAGGAAGGAAGAAAAAGCTCGTGTATCGTATGATGATTTTCAAATTGTTTGTAATTGTTTTTTTTTGTTTTTGTTTTTAGCATGTTGATTGAAGGGCTTTTTAAATTCTTATTTTTTATTTTCTTTTTTTTTTTGAAAATATTTATTTTATGGTATGATTTAGAAATTTGAAACCTAATTAATTATTTGCGCTAACTCAGCAAATTATTATATTGTCTTTTCATATATTGTTATATGACAAATATTTATGGATAATAAGGATATTTAATGAAATAATTGGGGGAAAAAACAAAATTTTTACCCCACATTTTTTGTAATCATACAAACAGCAACATATGAGAAGAAAGTTAATAAGGTCCAAAGATTTTTTTTTTTTTTTTTTTGTAAACAGATTATCGCACCACAAACAAAAGGGTAAAGTTGACCGTGCTCGATAATTATTTTATGAGAATTTCTCCAAATTAGACGCATAATAGGGGAAATAAAATAAAGGTTAAAAATAGAAATAAAAAAATTACACTATTTTGAAAAAAAAAAAAGGAATAGTCATTGGACTCCAAAGGTTATTGTAAGCATTACAATTAAATTTTATGATGCTCGGCGTTTTGTTGTTGTGACTTTATTGACTTGAGGTAAATTTTTTCTCCGCATTCCGAAGTGAAGATTGACTGTCGCACCAATGTTTATTGTCATCTATCAGTCGGATGATTTTTTATTCTTATTTTATATTTCCAATCAATTCGACGACGACGCTCAAGCCATCCTCTGGGCATTCGCACGCCTTCTTACCTTTACATGTTTTCATTAAAATCGTACACCCTTCTGTGGCTCATACATATGGTAACAATCACTTTTTATTCAAAATAATCACAGCGGATGGATTAACGTGAATCAGCTTTTAGTTCGGAGTCCGATGATTTGTAATGGGTTCAATGCAGGAGAAAAAATTTGGTGTATGAAATCTCATTATTTATTTATGTACAAGAGATTCATTTACTAACCTCAAAGAGAGATTGCAGATAATAAATAAATAAAAAAAAAAGTTCATTTAACCTTTTTCTTCATTTGAATAGAACCCTTTTTTTTTCTTTATGGAATGAACTTACGCTAAAAAAAGATCGCAACCGGTTTTTCCTTGATTATTTTCTTAATTTGGCACCATAGAAAAAGTAGGTTCAAAGTGAGAAAAAAAAAGTAAGGGAAAAGAACATGATATGGCACAAATTAAATTAATTTAATGCAGGGGTATATATAGAAGTCTTGTTTCCGTACCCTTTTTTCTTTTTTATCATTCGAAAGAAGAATTAATAAGGTTTATTATAATGTAAATAAATATTAATTCACAATAATGAATGACTTATGTGGGGTAAAAGAGATAAAATAAGGAAATTAAAAAAAAAAGGAATAGTAAAAAAGGCATATATACCGTATGTACGAACGACGATTATTAAAATAAACTTTAAGCCCCAAATGATAAGATTTTGATTAAATTAGAGTTTTGATTGATTTTTTTTTTTTTAAAAAAAGATAAGGGAAGTACCGAAATACAATTTGGTAGTTCATTCAATAATATTATGGTAATCGAACGAAAAAAAAAAAAAAAAAAAAAAAAAATCCATACGAGACAAACGACGATAAGTTTAGTTTTTTCCGTTTTAAGTCTTCTTTTTCTATTTTAAGAAATTGATCCACCTTTCGATAGATGGAATTAGAGTTATCTTGAATGAAGATTAAAGTTTTTAAAAAAGGAATAAAAAAAAAAAAATATGCATTATGGTGATTCATCTATTTTTTTTTGCTATCCTCCTTTATTTAATTAAGCTCTTTGATAAAATATTTTCTCAGGTACAAACAACTAATTAACTTGTGATAATAACAAAAACTTGATAAAGTTTCATGCTCAACCAAAAAAAACCAAAATGGTATCTCCATTTAACAGATGATTATATTTATTAAAGGGACGAAACGAAACTTCGTACATGAATATATGTTATAATAAGGCCAATAAAAGTTAACATCAGATTTATTTGAATCTAAATATGGATTAAAGTTTTTTTTATAATATCTTACCCCACAATAAAAACTATACCCCACAAAAAAACAAATAGGTCTTATAGGTCTTAAAGAATTTAGGTTGTTAATGAAGAAAAAAAATAATAAGTGTATATATACCCTTGTATGACTAGATGCTCCAATGGAAAGCTAACCACCTTGCACAACGGACATTTTCGTTCATGCATCAAGATGAATCGTACAGATTATGGACTAAAATAAAACTTATTACTATTTGTAACGCGAATGTTTAGGTACTTTTTTGAAAGTTGTGTCGATATAAAATCATATAGATTTGCATTTTGTGAATTACAATTATAATTTTAAAACTCAATCATTACCATAAGAAATTATGAAACATGCACGAGTATTATCAATGTCCCTTGCATACTTTAAATATTTGGAGTGACCAAACAATTTAAACCAGTCAATGCTGTAGTTTATGCAAAGGAAGACTCGAGATATTTAGTATTCTTATTTAATCTATGTGAATATGTTTACATTTCCGAAACATGATTGAAATTCGAAATTTTTTTTTTAAAAAAAAAAACTCGCTTTGTATCATGGCAAAATATCCGACATTTTTATTATTCGGCAAAATGACCGAAATCGAAATTTGTATTTTCACCGTATATCACTCCTCCCCCTTTTTTTAAAAATAAAATAATGACTGCTCATGATATCTATAAATGCATACATATTAAACGCGTCAATAATATTTCAAATTTATTGGACGCGAAAAAAAAATACAAACAACCTATTGAAATTAAGGTACATAAATATCACTTAGGGATGTATGAATTTTCCGGTTAGGATAAATGGTGAATTTGTTTACAGTGACCTTATTGAATCAAAATCGAGTTAACAATAGTTCATTTATATCATGGGACTATCACATACTAGGTTGAAAACAAGTAATATTATTACAATGGATAAATTTGTTCCTAAACATATTTACACATTTATATTTCCAAAATGAACAAGTTTATAATGAAGGATACCCGACCCGTGCAACTTATGGCTTGAATGCATATGCCTACGAGTCCAGTAAGCATTTTTTATTGTTCGACATAAAGAAGAAAACATGTTACACGACGTTTGAAACTCTTTTCTTCAATTATTCGGCACATTTTATCTCTTCATTCAAATGAAAGTACATGATTTACGCGTTTCTTTCTCACACCCTCCTTACATAATTTTACACTATTTACGTTTTCGGAAATGAATAGGTAAAGTACATAATCTTTTAGGTCAAATACTTTTTTTTTACGAAATTATCACCCAAATGGGAAGGAACTCTTGTTGAGGGAAAGATTAAATATGATTCACTCCATAATTAATAAATCATTAGGGTAGGAAATAGGAAAGCGATCTCGATTTTAACTTCTCTGTTTTAATATCCCAATTGATAGTCAGGAGAGATAAGGGAGTCATTAAACAAGTTTTAAATTGATAATAAATTCTTTATAAATTTCCGGAGAAAAAATAATAAATAATTTTTTATTCCAGATTTTGTTTGAGAGAAAATCAAAACCTTAATTTTTCAAAGAATTATCACCATTCAGCCCATTAATTTAGCCGTAAAAATTTTCGTCCAACACCATTTTTTTTTTGTTAGAGAATTTGCGCCACCAAAGATTTAAAATCAATACTAAGCCCATCATCAAACCGAAAATGTAAATATAAACTTTACACAATTATAGTAAGAAAGAACCGTTTGAGATGTCTTAGATAAAGCGTGTGCGACATCATTTTTAACATTTTATTTCGGTTTGAAATATTTCCGCATCTTACCGAAAATAATTTCATTATTCAATCGCATTATAATTACCAAAAAGAAAAAAAAATTGCACGTGTCAAAAAAAATGTGAACACAATAACATTAGCCGATAATTGTTAAAGAAAAAAGGTTTTTCTCATTTTTATTTTCCATAAACAAAGATGCAAAATCTGCAAAATAAAAAAATCATTACTGTATTTGATTTATTCTTCCCCACATTGTTATGCTGAACACAAAAATTACAACATTTACTCTGCTACATAGAGTGGTTCGATGTTTGAACTATTATAATATACTATGCGGTTTGTGAGCTAGATTTTATGGCTTGCACAATTTTTTCTTTCTTTCTCTTTCCCGCTTTTAATTAGATCAATTAAAACTTGTGATTACCCAACATAAAAAAAAAGAATAATTGGCGCTTATTCTCATCCAAGTTAAAAATTACCCTATTTGAAGGAAAAATGTTATATAATTGAATAATAATAAAAAAAAAGGAATTGCCGGCGGATACATAAGTGTATTCCGATTATTCTTATTGAAAAATTTTTCTGGAGTGACAGTTTCAAAGCCTATGTAACAAGAAATTGTCCACTTTCAGATTATCGAAAGATGCTTAACAATCCTTTTTGTATATTAATGCAGTGTAAGAGTATATATAGTATAGGAAAATGCAAGCAAAAAGAAAATTGAAGAAACTAAACGTATTGTAATCAAATCATGTCTTTAAGATTTTAATATTACCAAAACTTGAAGCTTTCTTACTTTTTCTATGGTTATATTGTTCACTTTAGATTGTTCAAAAAAAAATTTTTTTTATTATTGAGAATTTGGTTGTGGTTTGTATTTTTGCTGATTTTTTTTTGATTCCCATCGAAGAGCCTTTTTTCTTTTTTTATTATAAAAAAATTTAATTTGTCTAATACAAAGAGAGTTGATGTTTTGCGTTTTGAATTCACTCAGTGTCACCTCCCTATGTAAAATTGTTGATTATATAATACCTCCCTCATGTTTATTAATTAGCCCATATAAACAGTTCTTTATTTCACCAAAATAAAAAATTTTTTTTTTAAAAAAAAAATCTCATTTTTTACCAAAACGCTCGTGCGACAACCTGATCATGCTTGGTACTTCTCGTAATCATGGTTTAGCTGGTTATAGTTAATTTTTTGTTCTGTTAATTTGGTTAATTATTAAATTGTCCAATCAAAGAGAAATGAATCTGCCATCGGCAGATCTCGGACCGTTGATCATACCTAAGATGGATAGGTTAATTTACCCACTCTTTTAGTGCCTTTTATGTAAATATGGCTAACTTGCTAGAACAGGTAAAAAAAAACATGCATAATACAAGATTATAAAAATTGAATGATTATGATTGATAAAAATCACTTTTTTTTTTTTCAGGAAAAAAATTTACAGTTTTAAAAAAAAAAGGATAATCAACATTTCTTTTGTCCATTATTTTAAATCTCATTATCTACGTTATCTATCTTCGTTCCTATCGTTATCTTCATTCTCACAACTAATTCTTATCAAATCACATTCACCATCCGAATCTTCCACATCATCAATATAGCCACCAACGATGATACTATCATCGATTTCATCGATATGCTCCATATCAATAAACTGCTCATGATCATTACTCACATTATTATTATTTGATTTACCGACCTTCCACCGCTTCCTAATTAATCTCATTGTAATGAGATAAAATAAACCATTCGTCAATCCTAATAATATTGTCGTAACATACGTAATGTAGAAATCTAATAAATGAACGGTTACGTAATAATACATCTTTATTAGGGCTGTCGCGAAGGAAGGAATTGGGAAATTGTTAATCGAGTGGGCGTCGGTGAAATGTAAAAAGATGCGAGATATAATCATATGACTTACAATATAATATCCATAATACACAGAGAGCGCTGATTTTTTCGCGTTAATAATAATGAAAAAAAGGTTAATTAATCATATTCATGATTAAATTATAATTAAAATAGATCGAATAATTAATTTACCAATGAATTCCTATATCAGACTTTTTAAGTTTGTCGAACGTGAAACAATAAAACCCTATATTATAATATTAAAAAAAAAAATGCTTTGTTATCACGATCCTTGAAATAATAAAAAAAAATTTCATTAACGTTAAGTACCACTTATGAATATACTAATTAATATGATCAATTCAAAAAATCTTGTTGGTACTGTTTGAAAGTTCCTACTTTTGTTTAAAAAAAATAAAAATTAAATAGGAAAATTTACACATAAAATCATTTTCATTAAATAACTCACGTTGATTGCGAGAGGCTATATTTGCTCGTAGATTGTGATAACGCATTTAAAAGAATTAATTCTATAAAATCAATTTTTTTTTTCTTAGATTTGTTTTTTAATTTTCAACATCAAAAATGTATTTTTTTTTTTATAACTATGTGCTGAGTTCACGGTTGACTGTCGAAATGGTTTTGGGTTTCCTTCAAAAATATTTCAAAACATCGCACTTTGTCTAAAAGAATGGTTGAGATGTTGTACATACCTAAAATTAGACAAGTTATTGAATTGGTGAATTCAAATATTTTTAAGACGTTAAATAATGAATAATTCATATTTTTGATAAGAAGTTTGAATCACTGATTTTACTGGAATGGTTGTTCATAAAATATTTTTCAAAAAAAATTAAAATAAAATAAAGGAAGAGAAAAGAAATACTTTTCAGTTTGCCACGAGATCAAAAAAAATTTTTTTTTATTTAATAAACGTTCCTATTTTCACTTAATGGATACATTTCCGATATTAAAAATAAACAAAATAAAAAACGAACAATTTTCCTTAAATAAATTCTTTCATCCTTTTCATGCATGGAAAGAAAACTTAATCCGTCGATTAATAATTTCTATGGTCTTGTGAACAACTTAATATAGAGAATATACCTTTGATCCCGACTTTTGATCCGATGACCCTTTTATATTGAAAACTTCATCCTTAAGAAAAACAATTAAATAATTATCTTACGATTTTAGAAATAACTTTCAGAAATTACTTGTCATGAGCTTTTGCATCCCTTTTTACCACAAAAGGAATATTTCGGAGAATAATTATTTAACAATTTACAGTTAAAAATAACCTATTTATAGTACTTTGATCAAAAAATTCTTTTTTCAAATGCAATAATCAGATGCAAAAAGTTATGTAATATAATTTATGTAAGATATTATCAAATCTTAGATATCTAAAGTTATAAATCAAGGAATATTATAAGAAAATGTAATGTATAAGGTCTTTCAAAAGTAACGCATCACTTTTATTTTACAGTTAAATACAAAATATTTACTATAAAGCTGATCATATAATAACAATAATAAATAATTTTGACTTATAAAATTTATAATATAATAATACTTTATTTAAATTTCTATTATATTTCTTTATTTTAAGCATATATTTCTTTATTTAAAGCATACCAATTATTAAATTAAATTTATAAATCAATGATTAATAGAAATTCAATTATTTCAAATAAAAAAAATTATATTAATAATTCTCTATTACAATAAAAAAATAAAATATTCATAAATTTTATAAATTTAAATAAAAACAAAAAATTAAAAGGATTTTAATTGTTTAAAACTTATTATTATAAATTTAAATTTGTAATAGATTATATTTACATTACTTAATAAACCTTAATTAAATTATTTAAAGAATAAATAGTTAATTAACATTAAGATAAATATAATATTTTTTTTTTTAATTATAAAAATCACTATAAATTAAATTAAAAATATTTTAATAATAAAATTATATTATACATTATAAAAAATAAAAAAATATATTAAAATTTTTATTAAAAACCTATAAAATTAAAGATTTAAATAAATGTTTTACTAAAAATAAATATACAATTACTAAATTATAATTAATTACTGAATTTTAAATATAAAATTTATAGAATTTGCAATATAAGTAACAACTAGTTGTAATTTTTCAAATCAATTATAATATAATTAATTTATTTATTGTAATTAATATAAATTTAGAAAATTAACTTTATTAATAAAGATATTTAATTTACTAAAAATGTGATGTTAATTTGTAGAAAAAAAGTTGAGTTTATTAATTCGTAATCTTTAAAATAAATGATAAACTCAATATCAATGATAATAATTTAATTTGATTTTTCAAATTAAATTATATAATAAACTATTTAAATATAATAACTTAATAAATTATCATAATATTATACAATTCCTGAAGAAAAGAATAGTAAATACAATTTTAAACAATATATAAAAACTTTATTATTTAAATATAATTTTTTTAATTAATTACCAATACTAACAAAACAATTTTTATTAATTAATTAATATTTTATGTGACTTTCTTCTGTATCAATATATGCTTTAATCCAGTATAACATGTTATCAATACATCTAAGTAACATACTATTATTGAGATTATCACATTCCTGCTAGATTGTAATAATAAATACATCAAATAATTTATAATTATATTACCAGTTTTATATAGAAAACTGACATATTATTTATATATGTGTAAAAAAATGCATAATTATTATAATATTTTCTTCACATTATGTATATTTTAGTTCCAAAGTATTAACATCTAGTTTCGTTTTATTTTAAGAGATCATGAAAATGAAATCAAAATTAAAATAAAATAAATACAAATTTAGTGTTATCCTTTTAAATTAGAATTTCATTGTTCAACTTGATCATATAAATTATAGCTTAATCAGAAAACTAAACATATTACAATTTAAAATAAATGTAGTATAACTATCACTATTCTATTAGCTAATAACTATATATAAAAAGATACATAAAGGTTATAAGTAATTAAATAAAACAATAATTTTATTAAAATAAAAATGAAATATTCTTAGAAGAATTATAAAATTATATTTAATTACATAATTATTTATAATCTATTTTATAATATATTTTTAATTTCACTACTATTAAATAATTCTAATAATTTATTTATAATTTTAGATTTATTTAAGATTAAATAATTATTATTTAAAAATCATTTTATTTATCTAATTATATAATTATTATTATGTATTTCTACTAGAAGATAATTATATAATTATTATATAATTATTAAAGATATTACTAAAAATTTATTAAAACTAGTTTCTGTAATTTTAAGCTAATTTTAATAAATATAAACTATAGAATTTTAGTTTAAAATATTAATATTAATTATAATTATATAACAATTATTAATGTTTTAATTTTATTATAATATCTTTAATAATTATCATATTTGTTATTAATTTTTAAATATAATATGCTATATCAAATAAAACAAATTTATTAAATCAGTATTATAAACATTATAAACTATAATTTTCTTTTTATTATAAGATTATTTACTGTGATTTTTTAATAATAAATAATTTAGCATACTTTATATTATGCTTTAGTTATATAATTTATTATATCTTATTTTTATTTGCTTAATAATAAATAACCTTTTTATTATCTTTATTTATACTTAATTAAATTTTCAATTAATCTTATATTATTAATTAAAATATATAATAATTATTTATAAATAATTGTAAATTATTTTTGTATAAATTATAACTAGTTATAATTATTTTGTAAATAATTATTATTTTATTTTAATGATAATTAAACTTTAATAATAATAAATTTTGTATTTTACTTAATTTCAACAATTTGGATAGATAAATACAAATTTGATGAAAAAATATATTGATTATATTAAAGGTCTAACTAATAATACTCTAAAATAATTTTATATGATTCTTTAGAATATTTAAAAGAGTCTATTAAACAAAAATTTTAGAACAATAATTTTAACTTAACAGTTATTTCTAATAGTTTAATTAATTTATGTTAATCACTTGAAGTTATAATTAATAAGCTATTTATAAATGATTAGTAAAAGAATAGCATTTATGAATGAAAGAAACTGAAATAACTGTAGCAGAAAATTTTTGTTATGCTAAAATATCTGATATTTGTGTGAATTAAATAGGCTTAAGAAAAAAATATTAGATAATATAATTATACAATTTTTTAAAACTTATAAGATTTTAACTTCTTCACTAGATAGATCAAATGATAAAAGTAGTGAAGAATAAATTAATGATGATAATGATATCTTTAGTAATAAAAAAGTAAATGATATTAGTGATGATAAAATAAATGATGATAAGGTTTATAATGATAATATTAATAATAATAATATCAATTGTAAAAAATAGTATTAGATCAGGTATTTAATATCTAATTATAAAATTTTATTAAAGATACTTAGTCACAATTAAGATTGTTTGTCTAAACTCATTTTGGATTTGGCTAAACGTCTAGACCTTTAATTTCGCTAAATTTTTACTAAGTGTTTGATATAGTTTTACTATTATTATAAGCTTTGATATAGTTTTATCTTTTTCTGAATTTCGCAGATTTTTAATAAGATTTTAATATAATTTAACCAAGTTTTACCTTTACCATTTAGACGTCTGTCTAAACTCTTAATTTTACCTAGCAATCTTAATTAGCATTATAGATAAAATAGCATTTATTAATAGGCTTAAAGAATAGAAATGTGACCACTGCACCAATATTTTAAACTTAATTTATTTAATATTCATTTTCATTTATGCAAGAAAAAAGATAGAGGTATCATTTAGTAGTGATACCTGATGAAATTACCTTTCTTAATATAATGAAATTGACGAAACTAAAATAATAAAACTAGTTTTTTATTAATGGTGAATTATTTTACTTAATTGCCGA